CTAATGTTTCCCCAGCAGTTATCTGGTCCCTCCAGCTGTTGGAGCCTTTGTCTACTCCAGAGGACCCCCTGTCTACTCTCTAGCCCACTGGTTCCTCTGCTGGCTGCAACTACAACACTGCCAGGGTTAAGGTGGCAGGTCCTGGCACCATCTGTCCTGTATCATTCCTAGTCTACTTTTCTTTGTCCTGATTATTTTATGTCTTCTTTATTACAAGAAGTTTCTTTATTATCTCCAATATCTTCAATGAAACTTAAAGTTTCTTCTGTATTTGAAGGTAGTAAATGTTTGGCAAATAGTGATTAATCATGCTGTTTTACCTAGGAATGATTCTTACTCTGAGCAGAACATGTGTGTGCTGAATCTTTTTCCATGGGGCCCAGATCTAGTGGAAGGAACCTGCCTGTCTACCTGATACCAGAATTCTAGGCTCTTGGTCTCGACGGTTCGAAGAATGAAGCAACAGACCACAGCATCAGCAATAGGTTAGGTTTTCTTTAACAATACAAGTGTTACAGCTCTCACAAAGAACCAAACCTCCTTGCAGAGCAGGATCAGCAGTAAGATGGGTTTTATACTACAAGTGTTACAGCTCTCACAAAGAACCAAGCCTCCTTGTTCTCTTGCTCTCTTTTTGAGGTCTGTGTTTGGGCTCTCTGCTTAGGAACTTATAAAGTGGCAGGTAAACAATGAGCTTTCAGGTCTTGAAAACAGACCATTCAGGAGCAGGTTTTGGAAACAGACCAGTCAGGGATGCACTGCAGGAATTGCCAGAAGTCCACGTGAGGAGACAGCTCGGTGCCAGTGTCTTACCCCACTGTGTCTGGCCGAATTCCTCTGTTTGTCGCAACAGCAACAGGTCCAGGGCCAAGGTGGCTGGTCTCGGTGCCACCTTGTCCGTATCATTCCTCCCTCTCTGAGTGGAAACTCTAACTGCTGTTAGGGAAGAAGGGCGAAGACTTGATCTAACTGCTTCCTGCTAATTAAGTGATGATAGAAGGGGCAGTTAGGGTTTCTCCGGAGGGAAGAGTGATACAAGAATCTGGTGAATCAGACTGGAACCACCTCTCTGGAGGGAAGAGTGATACAAGAATCAGGTGTTAGACTGGAACCATCTTTATTGTGGGTGGTGTGGTTTGATGAGATTTTTGGAAAATCTATACTTGAGTAGTATAATTAGTAACAGGTAATTGTAGCACTAGACCTTCTAGTAATAAGGTTTGATATTTCAGAAAGCGGTTATTGGACAGGCAAAGATTGCTCTTGGCATTCAAAAGACCAGTAATATCATGAGAAGTATAAATAGTTAGATATTTACCTAAAGTTAGTTGGTTGCTTCTGGGGTCAAGAGGGCTACAACTGAGGCGACTCATAGACAGTGCGGCCATCCCTTGGCCACAGTGTCAATTTCTTTACTAAGATATGCTACATGTTGTAGAACTGGACCCGGGTATTGGGCCAAAACTCCCAGAGCAATGCCAGTTTGTTCTGTAATATACAGATTAAATTTCTGTCCAGTGG